AATAACTATATATACAGTTTTCATTTGTCAGTTAAATAAATAAACACTGTTCAAAAAAAAAACCACACACACAAAACTTGTGGCTTTAATACAATTGTTTCTATCCTCAGGAAGTGTTTTGGGGTTACAGGACAGGGGGTTCGACATCTTAAGAGGGCCTTGAAAGCCAAGTAGGTATTTTCTGCAGAGCGGGGGAAGGGCAAAGGCATTCCAGGTGAGGGTGACATCTTGTGGTAGTGGGTCTGGAGGTGGGGAAGGGGGAGTGGGCAGGTGGTCTGTGCTGCAGAGTGCTGTAGCTCGGCTGTGGGGGTGGCAGAGCAGAAGGCACACAATGGCTGGGGTGAGGCTGAGGAGGGTACCGATTGCTCATTGGATTGTTTCTTTACAGACATTCGTAATTAAGTCGTGCACATCTGGATATGAGCTTTGTATGAATCTGACTCTTTCCGTTGCTCTGCAAACAGTCTTCTTTTTTCCTTTTGATGAAATCCTGCAGTCTGCTCCAATGTACCAGTACCTGGATAGGAAAATGTTCAAAGAAGCCTACCAGATTGCTTGCTTGGGCGTGACAGACACTGATTGGCGTGAGCTAGCCATGGAAGCGCTAGAAGGATTAGAGTTTGAAACAGCAAAGAAGGTAAGCCTCTGGTCAGCATGAGTTGGAATATGATCCTTGTGGGGGTCCCTTAAGGAGGCAGAAGGGGGTCCAGGTGACATGGAGAGGCAGAAGCAGACTGTAGTGGGGTCTGGAGTTAGACTTACCTGGGTTCAGATCTCAGCTAAGCCACTTCCTCACTGTGAGCCTGCAAAGGTAACAATCTTTCTAAGGTTGCTTCTCCATAGAATTAGAACAAAGTTATAAGGATCTAATGGGGAAATGCCTGGAAAGCCCTGTACAGAAGAAGTATCTGATAGATTCTGGTTCTCACTCTTATTAGCTATTTATGTAAAGCCCCTAGCTAAAAGCCAGGCACATAATAGGCACTCAATAAATGGTATGAGCATTAGGCCACTTATTACACAGTGCTGCTTTCTTAGCACTCTGCTAAGTGTGGCGGAAGACATGGTCATGCTCTCTGGTTCTAACAGCACTGTGGTCACTTCCCACATACCTTCATGGCATGATTTATGGACTTGATTCATTGTGTTATTTCTGGCTTGGTCTATTAAAGCAAGAGAAATGGCTGAAAACATCTGATTCCTTTCCACACAGTGAAAAAAGCCCAGATGTGTTTCTGAGTTGGGTTTCCACCTACAACCCAAGGTGGGAAGAAATGGCTTAGACCCCTCCCCCGCACTCCTGCCTTCCCTTGTCATCTTCCCGTGATCGGTTACTGAGCTGCTCATTGGTTCATACTGCCGGGCGGGTGCACAGCAGGATGGAGAGGTATGTGATGCCCGCCTCATGCGAAGTCAAGACTTCGAGGCGTGGGAGGAGAATGGACTGGACCAGACCAAGACTCAGAACCCTTGTCAAGAACCGGCTCTGCCAAGTAAGAGGCTCTGTGACTTCGGGCAAGCCACTTCTCCCAGAGCCCCAGTCCTCCATTTCTGAAGTGGGTTGGTGAAAACTCTTAAATGCCCTGCTGGCCTTCTACAGCATCATTAGGCTTAGCTTAGATGTTGCAAAGGGGAATTTAAAACTAGGAATGGTTAGGGCCGGCCTATGGCTCACTCGGTAGAGTGCGGTGCTGATAACACCAAGGCCACGGGTTCAGATCCTATACAGGGATGGCCGGTTGGCTCACTGGCTGAGCATGGTGCTGACAACACCAAGCCAAGGGTTGAGATCCCCTTACCGATCATCTTTTTAAAAAAAATTAAAAAAAAAAAAATCTAGGAATGGTTGTCAAATGCTAGCCATTATTAAAGCAAGGCAAATTATCATTATACAGTAATCTATATTATATTTTTAGATCTACTAAGTGTAGGAAAGAGATAACAGAAGAGGCTTTCAGAATTCAGGGAGGAAGGGAGCATCTCCATGGAGGGAGCTTCCTTCTCCTACCCCACCCAGAAATGCCAGGAGGGGTGAAGAATAACAAAGGGTCCCCCAGTATGTTGTGTCTGTTTGTTCTTAGCATGGAATGAAATTAAAGTCTTCATTCTGGGTTGTCCCCTATTTATACCCCAGGAACTAACCACCTCCCTTATCTCAGCGTCCCTCTACTCTGCCCAGCACAGTTCTCTAGATGGGCTAGGAACTCAGCACATGTTTTGAATGAATGAAAACTAAACTGGAATGACCGTTAAATTAACCCCAAAACACTCCCTGAGAACAGAAATGGTTCTATTAAAGCCACAAATTGGTTTTTTTGAAGTGTTTATTTATTTAAATTGACAGATAAAAATTGTATATATATTTATTGTGTACAATATGATGTTTTGAAAAAGCTGCAAGATTTTGACCATAGACTAGAACTCAATATTTTATCCAAATCCGGTATCCCCAGCCTTTCTTTTTCCCTATGCCAGGCACTCCAGCTCACATGCTTGTAGAGAGTAGCTCCCAGTGACAGACCGGTGTTCCCACTAGGTGGCGTAGGAGAGCTGCTTAGCACCAAGACCCAGAGCAAGGCTGCAGATGCTTTCCGTTCCCACACTTCCCTCTGCTGAGGTTATTCACAGGCCTTGTGACTCTGACCACTCTAACCAGGCATTCTGACTCTGCAGAATGTGTCGTGGCCAAAGGAACTTGGAAACAGATTTCTCACGGGGCAAATCCTACAATCCTGCACAGCAGAACTAGGAAGACCCTTGGAGAGGACGTCATTAGCTTGCCCCTTTCCACAAAGAAGACTGCTGGAGGTGGAAAGTAGGGAAGAAGTAGATTCAGGGACTTCCATCTGGAAAGCCTCAGATCTAGGACAGAAACCTAGAATGTTCCTTCTTTCCCTCTCTTCCACTTTGCTGGGCATTCCTGATTTCCCCGCTCATGGTACTTTAAGGAAAACCAGATCAAGAAAGTAACTTATGAGACCTTCAGCATGGAACACAGGTGCTCTTAGCCCTCCGTGCCTTTGCTCACATGATGCCTGTCTTACTCTTTCTACGAATCCCTCTTCAAGAATACCCATTTGCCAGATTCCTACTCTGTGATGCCTTTCTTAATCCTGCCTCCTGCCACTGCCTGGACTCAGACAGCAAATCTGTGTTCCCAAAGTCATCTGATTCATACTTGCATATCTCTTAGCTCAAGGAGGTTTAATGATCTGTTTAATCTGCCTGCCTCCCCTTTTACAATGTGGACCCCTGAATTGGGGAGGGAGACAGAGGTCAAGTCATATTCATCTCTGGGTCTCCAGCCTCTGACAGGGCCTAGTCCTGTGGGATGAAAAGAAGTCACATTGTGGTCATCTGTGAGGCAGCCAGAGGCCAGATGACTTGTTCATTTCCACAAGTCTTTTTAGGAGGGAGGATATCATGCAACTAAGGAGAGGCCACAAGTACCCAGGGTTAGTCTGCATTGTAAATTCTAAGGGCTCCTGCTGCTGCCACCTCTTCTAGGCACATGTTAGCCCATTTCAAATGGGACAGCGTATGGGGCCGGCCCGGTGGCGCACTGCTACAGTGCGCCGCTTGAGAAGCGCAGCGGCGCTCCCGCCGAGGGTTCGGATCCCACATACAGACCTGCCGCTCGCTGGCTGGGCGAGGAGCAGGGGCAGCACTGAGGGTTGCGATCCCATAGCCGGTCCCGGTCCGGTACGGGCGCGACACTGAGGGTTGCGCTGGCTGGGCGAGGAGCAGGGGCAGCACTGAGGGTTGCGATCCCGTAGCCGGTCCCGGTCCGGTACGGGCGCGACACTGAGGGTTGCGATCCGTTGCCGGTCACGAAAAAAGATAAAAAATAAATAAATAAATAAAAATGGGACAGCGTAAAGAAGGACAGTTGGGTAGAAATGAAGGTCAGCCTGTCATGGTGGGTTGTGTTCCTCTAAACCCCTTGCAAGCAGCAAAAGAAGCTTAACTAACATCAGTCTGCCTGTTCCTTAGAAACTTCTAGCAGTGTATGGGTTAAAGTTTCTGGCTTTACTGGGAATCCAAGGCAAAGGCTGCACTTTCAGGATTTACATAAGAGTTTGCCTTCCAGGGACTTGGAGTGATTCATTCCCTACCTCCCCCATCCTTCCAGAAACCATCTTTATTCCTTCTCAGCTTTCCCTTCCTCCTCTCCCTCTGTGTTGGTACTGTGGGCTCTGGGTGCCCTGTGTTTATGGCACCATTGGGTAAGCAGAGCTGTCTCCTGCTTTCCATCCAAGTCACCAAGATGTGCCTGCAGTCTCTTATCAGTCAGTAACATCTTACTTGCTCTTGCTCTGATGCCACAGCCTCCAAACGTCAGACCAGCTTGCTCTTCCCTTTTGGATAGATCCTCCCAGGGAGGCACCAGCACAGACTGCAGTATCATAGTTTTGTTTTACCTAATCCCAAAATGATTGATGCAACCAGGACTTCCTTGCTGTTTTTTGTATAGACTAATCCTAGGGATAAAACCGTGCCTCGCCGGGTGGTATAACCCTCCTGAACACACGATGATTAATCAATGCTTGCTTTTTTCCCCTTCCTTGCCAGCTTACTTTCTAGAGCTTGACTTCCTACCCCCAGCCAATCACCTACTTTTGAAGCAAGAAAGCAGCTGATTTTATTCTTTATTTCTTTCCCTGTAGGCCTTCACCAGAGTGCAAGACCTCCGATATTTAGAGCTCATCAACAGCATCGAGGTAAAAGATGAAGTGTTCTTCCTTCTCAAGAAACACAGACTCTATCAGTGGTGTATGGGCAGCCCTTCTAGTAGGCGAGGGCCCTGAAGACACATGAACTGAACCCCCTGGTGTCTGGACATCTAGGCCACAGCTTTGCTCTGGGGGGTCGGAGTGGCCGTGAAAGGGGAGACAGTGCCCCAGAGCAGGGAGTGCAGTCTGTCACTTGGTAGCTAGATGAGGCACATGGGTTCCTAATCTCTCTGAGCTTTGGTTTCTTGTCTGTGAAATGGGGTCAGACTTACCTCGCAAGATGCTGTGAGCATGAAATAGGTTCTCAGTAATTGGTTTGCATCTTTGTTAGCTGGTTACCATCCTCTCGGACTCTATTTATCTGCCAGTATAGGAGGCATTTCCCAAATGCACATGATCTACACACCACCTCCAGAAAGGGGCCTGCAGAGAGAGGCCTGTAGACTGAACTGAGTGCCGTTGAGCTCGGTAGCAGCCCGCCCCTCCAGCCCCCCATTCCTGGCTGAGAACACCAGTTTTGGGGGTTTTGTTTGTTTGTTTGTTTGTTTTGACCGGTAAGGGGATCGGAACCCTCAGCACAGTGTGATCTGCTCTGCACTCAGCCAGCGAGCGCACTGGCCATCCCTATATAGGATCCGAACCCGTGGCCTCGGCACCACCAGCACTGCACTCTCCCGAGTGAGCCACGGGGTCGGCCCTGAGAACACCGGTTTTGTCATCCAAACCAAGATAGGCCTGGGGTGGGTGAAAGAAACTAATTCTAGGTGCACCATTTGCTGGGTGATGGTAGACACTAGTCTTAATTTCTGTGTATCTCAGTGCTGACTATGAAAAGACATACATATTTTTTCTCCTGAACAGATTTATTGTGAGGCTGTGGGAATAAATACATTTGAATTCCCAGATGTGAGCAGTGAGGAAACCAGCAAATGTCTTGTCCATCTCATTCAGTTCAGCATAGTTATCTCCTTTCATGGGCCAGCCCTGTGCTCAGCTCAGTGGCAAAAAGAGTCGAGCAGAAGAGCTCCCGCCTACTAAGCATAACACCAGCTGCCACTTGTTGCGTCTGCTCTGTGCCCCATGCATGGTCCATGTGTACACCGTTCTAGATCCTCATGGCAATCTAATGAGGCAGGTACTGTTGCTACCCCTGTTCAGTGGATGAGGAAACTAAGGCTCAGAGAGGTGATGTCACATCCCCAAGGGTCCATGGCCAAAAGCTCGGTTGGAGTTCAAACCCAGGCTGTCTGTTTCCTATGTAGTGGGTGTCTTTACTCTAGACCACACACACCTTCCCCACCTACTTCATACCCCAGCATGCCATAAGGAGCATCTATATCCTGTTGTTTACTTATGTGCGTAGTAAAGGGCTTGCTTGGAACAATCGACCTGTAATGCCCAGTGCTGATACTATCAGGCTGGCATTTGTGAATCAGCCGGCTTGGACTAGGGGTCTTAATCTGAAGCCATGGAATATAATTTTTCTCTGTGCAAAAGTAACTGGCCTCTGTGAGGACCAGCTCTCATCATTTGTCATTTCTTACTGAGTTCAAAATGCCTGCCTCTAGAAGAGGCATATACTATGGCTGGGAAGTTAGTTAAAGTAAACTAGGTTGTCTCTTGAAAAAAAATCAAGTGCCCTTGAACAAAAATCCATTTTGACTGTTCTGAAGCTTTAGTTGCCAATTTCTAGGTGTTCGGCATTATTCCTGAGAACTGAGGTTCCTTAGTAGTTTCCTATTAGATAGGTGAGCTATTACTATCATAACAGGAGGAAAAGAATCTACTCATGTTGATACGTAACTGCAGAATGTACGTAGATCATTTTTATTGATCCTAGTGATACTCTGTGACCAAAATGGATACAGCCTAAATGCAATGCCTGGTAAGACCTATATTTTATCTCACTGCAAGATTTTAATTCACGTCCAACTATTAGAAGTTACTTTATTTGACTGATTAGCCTGAACTATGTGCAGGTTTTTAAAGAAGTTATTTCTGTCAGTGGGGAAGCATGTTGCTTCCAGCTGTGAAAACTTTCACCAGCTTGTCTAGGAGTTTGATCCAATGTTTCATCTTCCTCCACTGTGATACACTTGCTAGAAAACAAGGGAAACTGCCGGGGATGAAGGACTGGGTGCTATGGAGTGTTTACAAATACTTCAGCTGCAGACTAATGAATGCTCCCTAACACAGGAGGAAGGAGGGTGCGATGTACTTCTCTTCGTCCTCAGCACTGCTGAGCCCCTGTGTATGCGTGTGTGCGCACATGCAGGTGTGTTGTGGGACATCATTTGCCTCAGAAGGCAGGATTGTGATGCAGAGAGCATCTGGAGTGACGTAGAACTGAGTTCAAACGCCAGCTCTGTGTGAACTCGACCTGCTCCTGCTCTTGAACTCTGCTTCCTTCTCTGTAATATGTGGGTGGTGACCCTATCCCTAGAGTCATTGATAGGAAAAAAGTCCATGTGTATATTAAGTGTATACCTCGCACGTAGTGGATGTTCAGTATATCGTATTTCCTACCTTCTCTTTGGAAATAGGAACAGAGTAAGACTTGTTATCCTGTTTTATTAGTCTCCATCTTGAGTAGATGGAGCAACTTTCTCCTTGTCTGTCATCATCATGGGTCACAACACTGCCAAACCGAACATAGGGATTTGGGAGATCTTGGGAGCTTAGGGGCCGCCAATGAGTTGGCAGCACATACTATCCAAACTATTCAGTTGTTGCCTTGGAAGAACATACAGGAAAGCAACCCTGAGGAATTTCCATTAAACAAACAAAGGTTTGCATCTTTTTTGATCCTCTCTTGTCTGGAAAAAAATCTGCTTTTGTTACCAAGTGTTCCCACCAGAAACCTAGGTGAGAGACACAACAGCCCAGAAGCCGAGCATAGATTCCAATAGGAAGGCCCAGGGGCTTAACTTGAAATAGCAACACCTAACCTTTGTAAAGGCTGCTTCCTGCCCATGGCTGCAGAGGCCATTTCCTGTGCTTCTAATTTTTCCAGGAGAGGAAGAAGCGGGGAGAGCCCAACAATGACCTGTTTCTGGCAGATGTGTTTTCCTACCAGGGGAAGTTCCATGAGGCCGCCAAACTGTACAAGAGGAGCGGGCACGAGAACCTGGCGCTTGACATGTACACCGACCTCCGCATGTTTGAGTATGCCAAGGTAATCCACCCACATACCAGGCCCAAGCTGCCACTTGGAGCCCACTGGGGCTCTGACCTGCAGTGTCCAAGTTGTTTGCCCCATGAGGCAGTACAGATGGAAGTCAGCAATGACCTCAGAAAGGCTGTGGGCAGATTGATAAATGAAGGAACCATTCATTGGTTGAAACTGACCTACAAGTGACCTTTAAGGCTGACATCAAAGGGACAGAGTGTGGCAACAGTTCAGATCTTTGTCAACAACAGCTGGATGGGCTGTGGGTCTATATCAGTGTGATCCTTCATTAAGTGTCAAGGGCTCAGGACTTCAGGGCTGTCTCCCACAAATTCTCTCAAACCTTTGTCAGGAGCCACCAAGAATTAGTGTCCTCAGGCACAAGCTGGTCCTACCAACCATACGGGATGATGTGGTTCATTCCAGCCACGGGTCCCTAAGTTCCCGCTCTCTGCTTGTTCTGGGCTTCGCTCTGGGCTTCTGAGAAGGCCCGAGAGTCCCCACTCTCAAGTGTTAGCACAGTGTGCCTCTCACCACCCTGGCAGGTGCAGAGCCACCCACACAAGGTCTTTTGCATTTGGAGGGCCCCCGTTAAGGTTAGTCTCCAACGGGTCTGGGCCTTTAAAGGTACACGTGGAGAAGAGCTTCCTGGACCAGGCTCCTGATGCTTGTGTGAGAATGAGACCCACAAGGATCCTGGCCAGTCAAGACACTTGCAGTTCAGCCCAACACAAGGTTAAAGGAGACTTGGGTGCATCAAGCAGTAAGGCTCTTCCTTCCACAGAGGTGCCTTTGTTAACCTGCCTCTCCTGATAGTGTCAGAGGAGGCTCTCAGAATGTTGTTGAGTCACCAGCCACAACCAATTAGTGACTATTAATGGTAATTATCTAGCTCACAAGTTCAAGATGGAAAATCTTCCCCATTTTTTCCTGCTTTTCTGTTCCCGAAGATGGCTGTGTTCTTTTATCTTTCACCATCTGTTAGATCCTGGGGCTGAAGGTTGTGTTTGGCTCCTGCAATGTTTCCTAGGAGTTCCCGTTCATCAGTACCTAGACAAGCACCTGGGCCCCAGCCTGTCTCTTCACCTTGGTGATTCCTTCACTCCCAATTTCAGATCTGAGATGCTTCGTGTTCCCTCTGCTTTTTCCTCTTCATCTTTCTCAGCCACCATGCTCCTACCACACGCGTGGACAAGGCTTCACAGTACGCCCATCCTGAGAACACCTGAAATCACAGCACCTCTTTCTGGGGATAACAAAATTTTCACTGGGGATTAAACCTTAAACTACAGGATCGAATCCCTAGAGGTAGAATTTAGGCATCAGTCTCATTGTTCTTTGGAACCAGTGGCCCTTCCTAGAACCCCTGAAGCTTCCCCAGGTAGGCAGCTGTGGTGCAGTAGAAAATGGCTTGCCTTGGTATCCAGAGAGTAGTGTGAGTCTGGGTCCCTCCTGTGGAGTGACCCGAGGTAAAGGCTCTTCATTTTGCTAAGACTTGGTTTCCTCTTCAGAGGACGTAGCTACAGTGCAGTTTAGTTCTGAGGATTGCACAGGATAATGTAGGGAAAGCCCTCCACAAATGCCAAGCTGTAGGAAAATCAGGGAAATGAGAGGGATGAGCATGACCACAGAGTAGGTATTCTTCAGACCTCTCCACGACTGGCCCCCTCTTGCCCCTCCTCATGCTTTGGGTGGGGCTTTGAAGGCACCCACAGTCTTCCGTCCAGAAATGCAGCCCCTTTACATACTCCATCTGGTCTGGCTCTCTGTGAAGGTAAATACTCTGGGACTTGGTTTTGGTTCTAGTTTTTAATCACAATTCCAAGTAAGTTGGTCCCGTTTCAATCCCATCGCCCCCCTCCCAGTAGTCTGCATTTGAGAAAATGTGTATATACACATTATGTTGGGGGGTGGGGGAGATACAGTACTTATTAACATGGCATGTTTTTGTTTACTTGAAAATTGCTTCCCGAGATTCAATCTGGCTTTCAAAAATTTTTTAAATTACATTCCCACGTACAAATAAATTGTATGCTCTCTGGGTAAGTGACATGTTTATGTGGTGATAAAGGGAATTATAATGCTCTTAACTCTTATGTAGTATGTCCTTATCAAAATCACCAAGCATGAGAACACTGTTTAGCCTTATTCATCACTCAGCACAGCCTCTTTCTGTCCACTTCAGGACAAAGTCTTTGCCATGGCCCCCAGATAACGTGTAAATTAGCTTCATGGAACCAAAAAGCCTTTGAAAACTCGGTTTGTTGAGCCTCGAAGGAACCATTTAGACTCAGCTTCAATTAAGTCACAGCTCCCTGAGCTGGACTTCTGGACAGGAGGAGGCTCCTTCAAGCCTGTGAGCCATGTGCCTGGATGGTCTCCTTGGGGTGACGGCCCAAATTTATGGCTCCCTCTTAGCCTCTGACTCTTCCTACTACAGTAACCCCATGTCCTCTGAGCACTCACTGACGTCCCCTTTTAGGACATTTCTCTTCTTTTATGATGCTTGTTTCCCTCAGCTGCTAACCTCATTTAATCAACCAGGTAGGCAGTTTCTAGCTCTTTGTTGGCATAAAGAATACACATTGTAATAGCCACCAGGAATGAAGGGTGTGTCTGTCATGGCCCAAGCTAGGCAGAGTCAGTGGCTGCTTTCCAAGCCCCTTCCCCTTTGAGAACTCCAGAGGGAACCAAAGGCCGGCCAAGGCAGGTCTGTCTTTTATTGGGTCCCCACCATCAGGGTAAATGATGTCCCTTCTTCCCCTTCTTAAAACATTTGGTTGGGGCCGGCCCGTGGCCCACTCGGTAGAGTGCGGGGCTGATAACACCAAGGCCCCGGGGTCGGATCCCACATAGGGATGGCTGGTTCGCTCACTGGGTGAGCGTGGTGCTGACAACACCAAGTCAAGGGTTAGGATCACCTTACCGGTCATCTTTTAAAAAAAAAAAACATTTGGTTGTCTTAGGCGAACCTAATATATGATTTTAGGAGCTACACAATTACCCCAAAAGCAAATGGAGAAAAAAAGTGAGGTAATTGTTCAAGTGGGTTTTTAACATATGTTGACTGTACATTCCTGACAATTGCGTATTAATCATGGGGAAAGGTGCAGAGCACTCTCTGCAGGGTACATTATTTGTAAGACAAACTACTTCTTGCTAGTAATACAGATCTGGGCCGAAAGTGCTGTCAATTTTCCTCTTTGAAAAGCCCCACCTTTAAAAATGTCAGCACCAGTGCTGCCTTAACTACGGCAGACTCCCACTGTTTCCTGAGAAGAGGTGATTTTCTGAGGTTGTTTCTCAGGCATTCTAGAGTCAACCCAGGAAAGCTGGGCATGGCCCTTCAGAGGCCTCTATTGTGGTGGAAGGAACTCAGGCTCTGCCACCAGCCAGCCCGAGCTTCTGGGACCACAGTCTTTCTTCCTTCACTGTTCTCTCCAAGGCCCTTCCCCCTGCCTCAGATCTCCTTCCCCCACCTCCTGCTGTCCTACTGTTGGATCAGGTCCCCACCCCTGCAGACCTGACCTCAGGACAGGATTTGATACCACTCAGTGGAGAAGTAATTAACCAAAGAGAATTTTGCTTGTTATCTGTCTTAGGCGAATACCTGGGGGCAAAGCCACTGGGATAATCCCCTCAGTTCAGACAACAGAACATTTCAGAAAACAGATGGGCATAGCACTGCTAGCGGTATGGTAGTGAGGAAGGGCTGGGGCCTGCACTTTACTCTTTAAATCATTCTGTTTAAGTTCAGGATACCACGTGCTCAGCCCCACTCTGAGGCCTGTGGTATCATCCATGCTATCTGAATAAAGATTGTAGGTCTGATTATTTGAAATTGTGCAACCGGGTTGTCTGGTCACTATACAGGAACATGTCAAACCCCATGAGAGAGGGAGACAAAGGTCATAAACCCTCGTAATAACTTCGTATAGCATACATTATACGAAGTTATACGACTGCCACTTGTTGCGTCTGCTCGAATTTCAGGAGATAGAGATGTTAGGAAGAGAAGCCCGTGCGGGCAGGAAGAGCAGCGCGAACAGAGCAGAGCGGAGCGTGTCGGTTCTGTTGGGAAGAAAACGTGTGCAGGAGTGGAAGGTGATGGATAGCTGGCTGCAGCGGGGGGACCTGGGCTGGCCTCAGGAGGGCCTAGGGGACCAGACTGAGGTTTTTAGACTTGTCAGTGGGAAGAAAACGTGTGCAGGAGTGGAAGGTGATGGATAGCTGGCTGCAGCAGGGGGACCTGGGCTGGCCTCAGGAGGGCCTAGGGGACCAGACTGAGGTTTTTAGACTTGTCAATAGGGAATGAGGACCCCCCCAGTCAGGGCTGTGCCATCAGAAGCCCCTCAGACAGCAGGGGTAGAATGAAGGAGAAACTAGACAACAGGAGCCCAGGTAGAGTTGGCCGTGTGGTAGACTGGGAGGGAGGGTGGTGGCTGAGGGTATGAGAGACATGGAGGAGCTGGGGCCTGGAAGGCTGAGCCTGAGCTCTGCATCAAGGTAGAGAACAGAGGAGATGGAGCGGGCTAGGGGAGGGCTGCACAGAGGCACGATGGATCCAGGCTCGGGACTCAGTGCATCAGATCCCCAGTGTAGGGCTTTGTCCTCCCACAGGCGGGCAGTGGGCTTCACGCTCACATGTGTGAGTGCGTCCATATGCATATGCTGCCGCAGCTGTCACAAATGAACTATGAGGGAGAGGCCTCTGAGGTTGAGTCCATTTGAGCCCTAAAGGCTGTTGGTTGTTCTGGAAGCAACATTGTGGTAGCAGTGACCCAGCCAGGACCTGGTCACCCCCTTGAGCCCCATCATGTGATTGGTGTGTGGGCCCCTCACAAAGGGACCTTGGTGGGTAACCTATCACCCCATCCTTCTCTTATGCAAAACTAAAATTTCTTGAAGTAGAGGAATAGATTTTGCCCCCAAAATTATTCTTATCATGAAAGGGGTGGTACGGAAGAGAGCCAGGCAGATTTAGGGCCTCATGCTCTCCTCTGGTTTTTCATGTCACTTCATTTGTAAGTGCAATGTATCAAGTTACCCTGGGGATACTTAACTAGTTCAGGTAAGAGACAGTAAGCCTGTTCTGCCTCTTTTCCAGGTCTGGCTGTAAAAGGTGCCTCTTCTCCAGGGATATTGAGTTTGATGGTGGGGGGGCTGCCTGTGCCACCTTTCCCTAAAAATGCGTCCTTTCTCTGCTGAGCAGTGTTATTTTTAGATGCCATTATTATTCTCGGTGCAGACTGACAGGCCTCCCTGTGCTTGCCCGTCTCTAAGACGGGACCTGTTACAGCTGCTTCCCTTCCCTTCTCACAAAGAGCAGGCTGGGTGGAGCCCCTCCCCTGAGAGAACTAGTTTTACTCCAAACCCCAGCCTGACCAGAGGGAACCAGCATGTTCTGTCCCACCTCCATGTCCCCACAGCAGTAGGAGGGCCGGTCACCACTGGGAAGAAGTGGTGAGCCAGCTCGTCCCTGCAGCCTCTCACTGTGGTCAGCACCTTGGCCAGGAGGAGGGTACAGTCAAGACTGCCTGCAGGCCGTTCTTCCAGAGCTTAGAACAGGCCCCACACATGCCTCTTCCTCTAGAAGCAGTCACTGAATAATTCTGATGCCATGGCCTCTGCCTGCCTGTGGGAACTTCTGAAATGGCGGTAGAAAAAGCACTCCGCCACTTCCTGGCTGTGCAATCTGGACAGGGTGCTTTACCTTTCACCCTGGACTTTAGTCTTCTCACCTGTAAAATGGGAATAATAGGACCCACCTCTTAAGGTGGGGAAGATTCAGTGAGATCATTCATGGGAAAGCTCATGTTGTTGTCTTGGTGCCTGGTAGGGGATCAGTAGACAGCTCTTTCTATCCCCAGATCCTGCTGCATAGATCAGCAGCTCCTGTGAAAGGCACATGAAGCAGCAGACAGTATCCTTTAGAGGAGGCCTCTCCTGGGCCCTGGAGAGGGTTCTGGAGTATGTATTCACTCATTCAGTAACCATCCATCAAGCCCCTGGGGGGGGCATGGCACTGCATTAGCATTGGGGACAGCAAATGAATGGACACAGAGCCTGCCCTTGAGATGATCTGAAGCCCCCCTGCCACTTCCTTCCATCAGGCTCCTTCACAGGGTCCCTCTCCTCTCCACTATTCCCTTCTCTCCAGGTTGATTGAAATCGCCCGTAAGCTGGACAAGGCTGAGCGCAAGCCCCTGCTGATGTGTGCTCACTACTTCAAGAAGCTGGATAACCCTGGCTATGCTGCCGAGACCTACTTGAAGATTGGTGATCTGAAGTCCTTGGTGCAGCTGCACGTGGAGACCCAGCGCTGGGATGAGGTGAGGGGAGAGTTGGGGGTTGGGGCCCCACCTGAGCCCTGGGCCATGGGCAGATGGGTACAGGAGACCTTTGAGGTTTGGATAAAGAGAAGCTGCCCTCATAATGGAATGAACATTGGCCCAGCAATCAGGAGATTTAACCTTGAATTCTCTGAGCCAGAGCGTCTTGCACGGCCTTTCCGTACTAGCTTCCCATCTGTTCATTCATTCATTGAGAAAAACTTTACTGACTGCCAGTTCTGTGCCAGCCCTGTGATAGGCACCAGGATGTGAGTGTTAACACGACAGCTTCAGCGCTGGCTGTTGGTCTGAGCTGCCTCTGACCAGCACTACAGGCTCAGGCGCAACTCTGATGTGGAAACTCTGCACCTGTGTGACATTTAAAACCTACTGGCAGAAAATGCCAGCCATACTTTCCAGATACAGGCTGCCAGAGCCATTTCAGGGGCCAGCTCTTCCTCTGCCTCTGGTGTGAGGGTGGGTAAGGAGAATTAGCTAGACCAGTGAAAAAGAGGGCCCCCCTAAGTGAGGCTGGTGGAAGCAGCAGTGTGGCCCTCTCTGTGGCTTGGCTCCTGCCCTGCCACTCACTGGCTGACTGTGCCCTGGAGAGAAACCCATCCCCACGGGGATCAGAGGCTGTGCCCCGGGTCCTCTCTGCCCCCTGTCCCCCCATGGTCTATTTTACAGCAAGACCTGCTCTGGGTAAGAGCCGTCTGACTCTTGTCTGCCCTCTGAGTGGCTGCATTTGGTGAGGCGATGAGTTTGCTGATGAGAAAAGGTGGGGCCAGGGACAAAGGCAATAATGGCTTCTCAAGATAAATTTCTCAGGAGATTTCTCAAACAGCACAAACTGGAGCTTTTGAGAACCACTCGGTCCTGGCTGTGCGTCAGGCAAACTTTCTCCCCGTGGCTTGTTTCCGGTTCTCCTGGCCCGATAGGTGGTTCTGGTTCTTAGGTGAAGCAGTCACTGGATCCCATTCAGCACCAAGTCCACAGTCATTTTTGACAGCTAATAAGGAGTGATGATTATAATGTCAATTCTGTTTCCTTAGGTGTCGCCTGCAATTAAAAGAAATCTGTTTGCAGCGCTACAGGAGCCCACGCAAACTCTCAAAATAAAATGTTTCCGATTCTGTGCCGCTTCTGTGGTCCAGAAACAGACTGTGTTGTTATTGAATCCAGTCGCTTGCATATTGCTGTTAATTGCCTTTTGTTTTCAAAGAGCTGATTTGTTTTTGTGTGTCTGGGGGTGGTTGTGGGGGAGGGACTCTCCCCCTCTGAGTTGTCAGGCTGGCAAGATGTGACATCCCTAATGGATTCAGCCAAGTGCCATGTTTTCATGGGGGCTGAAGGGGCTGCTTTATTAAGAGTGCATTTGCTCCTTCCTCCAGGCCTTTGCTTTGGGTGAGAAGCATCCCGAGTTTAAGGATGACATCTACGTGCCCTATGCTCAGTGGCTAGCAGAGAATGATCGCTTTGAAGAAGCCCAGAAAGGTAGGCCACACAGAATGGTACCTTGCAGAAGTGACACACATTCCAGGAAGGCTGCCAGGCCTTCCTATCTGTAGGACCCAATAAGGTGACTTCACCCTGGGGATGTGATGTGTTTGGTTGGAAAGACTGGAGCAGTGGAAAGAACGTGGACTTTGGGGCCACGCACCCCTGGCCCATCACTCGCCTGCCACAGGACCTTCTGAGGTCCTCTCTCCGAGCCTCTGTGGTTACTGAGAAAAGTGATGTGCATGCCAGTGTGGCTTTCCATTTAATCTTCACACCAGCCCTATGGTGTGGGTACCATTATTATTATTCCCATTTTGCAGGTGAGAAAACTAACGGTTAAAGAGATAAAGTGATTTTCCTGAAGTCCTATAGCTAGGAAGTGGCAGAAAGGTAATTGGAGCCAAGGTGCAGTGAGGACAAAAAGAGAGGACTGCCACTGAGTGTGTGGTGTAGTCTCACCTCCACCTTCCTCTATTGGAAATAGAAACTCAGGTTCTGTTTCTGGACAAACAGGGTGACCTCGGCTCCTCGGCATTTTTCTTGGTAAAATGGGCTGCCCGTGAGGTATGGCTGCATCTGAAATAGGAGCCAGAGCAGGTACAAAGCCTTAACTGATAATGTCCATCATGATTAAGAAATTGACGGCCCTCTCTATGTCAGGCACTGGCTGGGCACTTAACCTACATAACCTTGAATCTTACCAGCAGCCGTGCAGAGGTGCAGAGACTGAATGTGCCCTGCAAAGTCACAAAGCAGACGAGTGGCAGAGCCGGCACGGGACCAGGATCTGTCTGCCTGGGGAGCTGGATCCTTCTGTGTTTTGCTACCTATTTAGGAAGTTTCTCATTGAGCGGGGTGTGTCCCATTCCATAACATCTCATCTACACTTCTATATGGTAACAGTTGCCACCTCTGGACACATTGCCAAACACGTCTCCCTGTTGGAGCTCCTCAGCTAAAAGCCCCCATTGAAGGACAGCCTGTTCTTTGCTGCTTCAGCATCTCCAGAGCACCCAGTTGCTGAAGTATCTGCATGTTTGGGCAAAACACATCAACCTATCCATCTGTCTGTGTCTGCCCTTCCAAGAATCCATCACCATAGTAACTTGGTACTCAGAAAAGAGATTGGAGATGAGAATGGAACAACGGCCAGACCTTTTCCTTCACTAAAGGCAGAGGATTTGGATCGTCTGATTACCCACATGTGGGCAAGGGTCACAGCTAGAAGTGCTTCACTGGCAGCCCCCCACATCCCAAGAGACAGGCTGTATAGTAGGTATTCAGGAAATTTCAGGGAAAAAGATGTAGGAATGATTGAGAGAATTTTTGCTTGTTTTCACAAATGTTTGGTTCAAGAACAGAGCTAGATCTCTCAAGGTTGTCATCAAAAAGCACTCAGTTGAAGACCAACTTAGGACTTGGGTTGGGCTCAGGTCTGTGACCTTGGGTACGCCTCTTTACCTCCATCTTGCAAAGCCCATTTCATTGCTCATTTTAAAAAGGATAATATTTCCTTCATAAGTCTGTTGTGATGATCCAGTGAGGTAATTAGCAATGAAAGCACTTGTAACTGCCAAGCCTCTTAAAGTGTCAGGTCCTGTAAGTATCACCTCGGGAGTCACAAAGCTTTGCCTTGGAATGGAGCCAGGGCAAAACCTCACTGAAGATGAGCAAGTTTCATCCTCAGACTTTGCCCTGGAATTTGGCCCCTCCAGTTTTTCTTTCTGCTATGCCTTTCCAAAATCAGTTGCCTTTATCCAGCCAAAAAGGAGTATATCTCACTATACTTTTTTCAGGATGTAGCCTTGATTATTTATAGCCTCCGGCCTGAGAGGCGGCATCCCAGCAACGAAGCACTGCACATGCTCCAATGAGTGTCCTACTTCCAAAGCAGCCCCTTGCAAGCCCCTCAGAATTCCATCCTAGGGCCAGCCCATGGCTCACTTGGGAGAGAGTGTGGTGCTGATAAGACCAAGGCCAAGGGTTCGGATCCCTACATAGGGATGGCTGGTTAGCTCAGTCAGTTAGAGCGTGGTGCTGACAACACCAAGTCAAGGGTTAAGATCCCCTTACCGGTCATCTTTTAAAAAAAAAAAAAAAATTCCGTCCTACTTCTTCTTCTGCCTCCCCAAATTGCGTGTGCTTTTGTGCCCCTGCAGCATTCCACAAGGCCGGGCGGCAGGGGGAAGCAGTCAGGGTGCTGGAGCAGCTCACACACAACGCCGTGGTGGAGAGCAGATTTAACGATGCCGCTTATTATTACTGGATGCTGTCCATGCAGTGCCTTGATATAGCTCAAGGTAGGTAAACATCAACCAGGCTGCTGTTTTCCCCTGCTCTGCTCTGGCACCAAGATAAGCATCGAAAGAGCTGGGACGTTTTAATTAAAGCCCTGGGCTTGTTTATTGGGTGTATTGTCCATAAGCCTGTCTTGCAGTGGCATAATCTGGTGCGTCATCTTTTTCCAGTTTGCCCATAAGTAAGGACGGTATGAGGGCTGTCCTGAGGTTATGGTTGGGAGGTCCTGTCCTGCATTGCTAATTCAGAACTTATCTCTCCCCTCCTACACAGGAGCCCATAGCTGGACCTGTGTGAACACTAGTTTTAAAATTTTTTATCGGGCCGGCCCGTGGCTCACTCTGTAGAGTGC